TTTAAGCACTTCAAGCTTGATCTATGCATAGATTAAGTGATGGAGACATGGGATGCACACATTCAACCTCAAGAATAGGAAGATGACACCCACATTGTAGGATGTGACCATTTTTCTTAGACATTCCATCGATGGATGGGTAGTCATAATCAAAGACTATGTGATCAAATTATGCTATATAAGCATGCATTTAGAGTGGCGCCCCATTTTTCTAAATTAAAAGGTGGTAGTATACCCCTTAAAAGGTTTAAGAAGACAGTTGTCACACCACCAAATGAAGTTGCAATAAAGTCTTATGTAGGTATGTATTAAATTATGATTTTAACTTGTGATTTGTAATGTAAGGTTGTGTGACATTAAGATGTTTGATAATAATCTCATATATGTGTTGACATTATCAAAGCAAGCTAGATAAATAGCAGCCTTTCCAGGTATGTGTTTAGTAATTCATTTGTATTCAACTTAACTTTTACCTATTTAGTCTTTTTATATGTTTGACACTTATGTTTTAAATTATGTGGGCTTTATATGAAGATTTAAAACTAGCAATTGCACCTGTATTTTGCACTAGTTGGATGGACATATAAACAATTATTGTTTTGTTAGTCTTTTTAAATGGTTGAAATATATTACCTTGATTAGATAATATGACAGTTCATCTATAGGTAGCACATTCCAATTAATATTAATATGAGTGATACATTATACATTGTAAATCATCAAGGTAAAAATGATTATTGCGATTGCTTAAATTGTCATGAAATTTACATATCATAATAGGATGCAAGTAGGAACGAGATATTTACTAAGATGCATAATGTGATTACAAATGATGAATATATGATTTGGTATATGGGTATAACAAGTTAAGTCATCACACAATATCCTGAATAGGTTCCTATACTAGAAGACTTGCAATATAAGCAGCATATATATCAAATTCAAAAGAACATAAGTGATCATAGCTTCTTAGAATTAATATATATTGAATGATGTGTTTTATTTATGAAACCTTTAATGTATAAATTTAATGAATTTTAGGTTGTCTTCTTGTTATGAAAGTGATACAAACTGAATCAGGTTCAAATTTGATATTAAAATATATATTGACCAGTTTGACAATATCAGACATATATCTTAAACCATATATCGAATCAAGATGAAATTTTATAGGGAGATACTATATGAAAATATGTTTTGGTAAGCTTTTAAGTCAAATGATATTCGATGACATATTATTTCAAACGGTTGAAGTTAATAAACGAATCTTGTTAAATATATCAAACTAGATCTCCATGTACTTTTTGGAAACTATCTAGAGCTACAAGTTGCATTTTGTTGCGATTAAAGTTAGGATAAAAACTAAACATCTCAAGCTTTCCAACTATATATTATAGGCCTAGTAATTCATCCAAAAGAAAAGGAATGATGTGTTTGAAGTCAAGCCTAAAATCTGCCAAGAATGTACTGAAACTGGAGATTTTGGCTACATGGAGAATTTTTAGCATGAAAACTATGTTTTTATTATCTTATTTTATTTTTTTATTTTTGAATATTTATTTTAAATTTAGATTTATTTTGATCTATTAGACATTGTTTAGGGGTTTATTTTATTATTGGACTTATATTAGTTGATTATTAGTTTAAGCCTGTTAACTTGCCACCGAAAGGAGTCTATTTGGGTTAATTAGAGGAGATCATATTATTTTTTTTTAGATGCAAATTTAGACAACAAATTGAAGAATAAACATGATTTTTTTTTATTTGTTTGTGGCAAAACAATCTTTCTTTGTAAGAACAAAGATTGTATATTAACTTATCAAAGATTAACTAGCTTAATGACATTATTCGCATGCTTAGAGTTCTTAGATACAAGATTATCTTTAGAACCAGGTCTTTTTCTAATACATTTGTTTTTTAGATATAGAGTTACCTCTGAGCCAAGGTTCTATCAAATCTTAGTGTTAATTTTCTGGGTTGTTATCTATTTTGTTAGAAGTTACTTGACCACGTGATCAAAAAGCTCGCATTAGAAAAAGTCAAAAGGTTGTTTTTGTGCTTTATAATCTTGATGAAGAAGGATAAGGATACATATGCGCATCTTGTTAGCTCATTACTTGTTGCACTGCACTTGTGAACATGAGAAAAACATTAACTCTTGATGATATCATGGTCAGCCACCTAAGCAGGAGGTAGTTGTGCTATTAACAAACCCAACCCATCCATTATATGACATAGGTGAAGATAGATGAACTTGCTTATATGTTATCAATGTATTATGTTGTGTTGTTTTGTTAGTTATGAATTTACAATTAATTTAAATGTTTTTAGTATATTTATAATATTGTTTTTTGTAAAAATTTTTGGTTGGTTAAGTTGAGATTCAGTTTTTTTTTTTTCAAATATACTGTGGAGAACTAGAATATTTGAAATACTAGAATTGAAAATGAAAATCTTACAAGTTGTCATGCGAACAAAGATAACATAATTATTTATTGAGATTATTGAATTCTTGGATTTGCAGGTGGCATGAACCAAATAATTATAACATTAACAATCCAAATAATCATTAAGCACGTGTCATTAACCAAAGAATTGGAGTTATTATATAATTAATCCTAAATTCAAATGAAAATTTGATTATAAAATTCTTGATAAAAAAATAATTACAAGAAATGAAAACATGACAAAAATTATAGTTATTGTGTAATTCACCATAAATCCAAAAGACGTTTCCCCACAAGCTAATTTAAAACCACATAAATTATAAGAAATAAAACATTGAAAAAAATATATAATTTTTATACAATGTTTAATTTTATATGAAAAGAAGTCTAATCCAAACAGTGTTAGAATTAGTTCACTACCACAAAGGTCAATCATGAATGAACAAACTACATGGATAATTTTCATATGGCTTAAATCTCCTCAAGTGCTTAAATATTTTGCGAAAATGAAAGTTTTAAGCTAAAAATAAACTTGATAAGTTTCATTTTTAGATCATTGAGACAAGAGATGTGTAATCATAATAATTCACCTTATTGTCCTAACACCAATAGCCCAATTGCCCTCACTTTTTTGAAAATAAACCAAGACAGACACGATAAGCAATTCTTTTTATGTCGTTATGATTTAAGGGCTGTTTGTGATTTGGTGGTTGTCACTGTTCCAAAAGGCAACATGTGAGGAAGTTGCATTCTGTAAACGCGACATTTATTTTATATCGAGTTTTCTAATCGTAACGTCTTTATATGTCGAGTTTTGAAACTGTAACAAGTATAGACTGTGTTATTTCACCGGTATTTTCTTGTCGCTGTGTTGTTATATCAAAATTTTAAGTTTTCTTTTAGCAAGCCACTGCAGGGCAGTGCACCATGCAGCTTTCAGCATTCAATTGCTGTTCACCATGCAGCTTTCAGCATTCAATTGCTAAGATAGTCTTGGGAAAGTGAGACCTTACAGTGAAAGCGTGTGTCATGGAAGCTTTCTTCAGAGAATTTTGAATGGGGTATCTGGTTCAAAAAGATTTCTTTGAAAGAGTTATCTAAACAGATTGCACAATCTTCAGTTATCTTTAGAAGAAAGGAAGAAGAAAAAAAAAAGATTCCTGGTTTACCTATACTGTATCAACACAAATGTAGATAAATCAAAAGGGCAACATGGGAATACAAAAATATACAACGAAACTGCTAAATAAAGGACACTAGGGAGGTTGCTTCTAGTTCAAAGGTTTATCTTTTCATGAGCCATTTGCCACAAAAAGCAAAATGAGGAAGAGACAACGGAAGAGATATGAGGAATTTTTTTTGTTTAGACAGTCGTATCAGGTGCCTCTGATTTCCCTTTCCCTTCATATCCCATCAACCAACTTAACCAGCAATCCTGTGATTTTACTGCCCACTTGTGTTTAAAGAATGGTTCCCTCCTTAATTAAGCGGTGTTCTTATTTCTCAAATTTTTAGATATTCCAGAGTGTGACGGTAATACCTAGATTTACCCTATAGTTTTTAGATATTGGGCCCAAACATGGTTAAAAAATCCTAGAGATTATATGAATAAAAGCAGCTTCTTTTTTCCTTCTTCCAGAAATGTATGGTGCTTTTCAGTTTTCACCCAAGTTTGCAGCTACGATCTTGAGTTTAGCTATTCTAGATCTGTCTTTCCCCACCATTGCCATTGAGGAGCTAACTTAATCCTATATATTCTCTCAATCTACGAAAGAACCAAACAAATCCTCGAGGGAATTGATCACAGTTACTAGTGACAGTCGTAGTTAGGGGCTTTGGTGAGGTACTGTCATGATCTGACAGAACTGCATCTGATGTCTTTTTTATCCTCTCTTCCAAGTGGGCTCTATTCATGGTCCAACAACCTCATGTTGGTGCATGAGGCCTGGAAGTGAATCTAAGCTGTATCTTTTTTGAAGCATAAGATCAGTACAGCACTTTACCTATTCTTTAATTATTTCAACTCTAGAAGTATTCTTGTTCTATAGAGGACACTGCTTTTGTTTCTCTTGGCATGTTGAGAGGATCCTTTGTTCAAAGATCCAAGCATCAAAGACAATCCTTCGTGAAAAAATATTGAGATGTTGCGAAGAACAAGTTAATTATTAAACAAATAATAATCCCCTAATCCTTTTTTGCTTTTGCCAATGGCCTGTTTTAACATGGAGCTTTCATATGCCACATATTCTGGCATCATGGCAGGGATAATATATGTTTAATTATCGCTCGATTGCGTTTGTGACTGGGAAAAAATAAAATAATAGGTGCAAGTTCTCATTAAGAGTGCCCGATAACATCCGCTGCTTCAACAATTCACAATTCAAGATATAACTTCAAATACCCTTCTTGATTGATTTATTGCAGGTTGCCGTTGAACTCGAAGAGCTTAACAGTTAGGGAGGGACGGAGGGAGGGAGAGATGAGGTGAGTGATGGATAATGCCACACTGAAGAAAGAGAGAGATGAGGTGAGGAGTGATGGATAATGCCACACTGAAGAAAATTACCTCTCATATGCAAGTAAATAAATCAAAATCTTGCGAAGGTAATTTCAGCAAGCACTTCTGGTAAGGCAGCCATGCAAAAAACTCCGATTATTTACACAGAATATGCCTAACCATTCTAGTTGCTAAAAATAAACAGGTAATTATTTTCCGACAAATCATATGCCCTGGAGAATTTATGCCAAAGCAATCCTCATAGAAGATGGGAACGACTCTGATCCCCGACCTACAAAGCATGGCTGTCAGTTGAGTTAGAATAGAACCTGTTCAAAGCTTTGTTAAGATGATAAATATTTGAAATCAGTGATATTATATTACACAAACATAGTCATTACTGATAAACTACAAAAACAAAAGGTCTATTTCAGCAAGGCTGCTTCAAGCCAATGAAAGTTCATGTGCAAGCATGCAAACATATTGGAAATAAGAATACATTCCAAATAGATTCAGTTTGAGTCACTGTTCAGATCAACACCATTCAAAGACCTAGATGAGAAAGAGAGATAGCCCTTAAAGGTTTCATCCAGGGATATTGGCAAAATCATTTCCTCTATAAACCAGAACAGAAACTTACCCCCACATACCACCCCACCTCTGACACACAGACTGAAGACTAGGAACATGCATACCTGATTTCTATCTAGAACCTTGCTAGCTACATGACAGCTTGAGGCCTAGTGTATGTTGCGATTAAGCAATCCTCGGAATGAAAAATAAAGATCTTTGTTATCTGTCCCAAATATCTCTTCTGCTTTCCTTAAAGTTTCCTGAAAGATAATATACAAAAACATGTTAACTCCTATCAACAAATGAAGTATGAAACATTCAATTGCATCAATATATTTTGTAAATTGAAGAATTCAATGCAACCTCTCGAGTTTGCTCTTGACCATTTAGTTTCTTGATGTTAGCCAGAAATGCACTGAACTGTTCATATGATAGGCGACTCCTAAATTACAAATGTAACCAAATCAGTGATAGAAGAACACAAATAATAGAGCTATAAATTTGAATACTTGATACAATCAAAATACTAGACTAACCTGGCCTGACGAAAGAACTCCTTTCCATCCACACGTGGGGCACGCCCTAAAGAAAATTCCATTATAAAATCGAATAATGTCAGATGAGAAAATGTTATATTAAATTGTGATAGGATTGTAAGATTCCATAGACATCAGTCAACAAATAACACAACAGAATGAGCACCAGAACAGATACTTGCTTGGTAAACTGTAAGAGGAGACTAGACTAACAAGCAATAGCAGCAAACAAACAGATGTGTTGCAAATGGTCTGATATTGATATATGAAAATTTGAAATCATACAAGATATACACCTGGAATTGGACATCCCCGGGGAGGAGAATTTGCTGCTGATGATTGCTGGCTTGATGGGTACCATGAAGAAAGGGAAGCTCGTCCATCATATTGAGGCTTTGTAGGAGATGTTGCACCTGAGGTTTTCTGAGGAGATCCAGCAGCAGAATAACCTTTAGGAGATGCACTAGTAGAAATAATTTTTGGGGTTCCGGATGGAGTAAGTTGTGGTGTAATATATGGAGTGATAGAATATCTTTGCCCAGCATGCCTTGGAGCTGTTAGACCAAACAATCAGCTTATAATTCATGAATAACATGTACAGTTAGCCCTCTTAGCAGTAATATTATCATTCAGTAATAACCTCACGTAATCACAAGAAATCACCAGATTTCATAAAAGCTAGCCTGTTTAACATCAATCAACCAATGCTCAAAAAATAAAATAATAACTATATAATACACATAGAAAAGGTCTGCTATAGGATATAAATATACTTAAAGATGCATATTGTGGTAACCATTTAGCGATTGAAGAAATCACAAAATCTCCCACAATAGAATGGGGAAAATTATACAACAGGCAGCAAGAGGCTTGTTTCAGTAAAATTAACATTTTAAGATAAAAGGGTAGAGCGGAATACAAAGAGCAACTTTCAAGAGGCTTGTTTCAGTAAAATTAACATTTTAAGATAAAAGGGTAGAGCTGAATACAAAGAGCAACTTTCTTTATACTCAGTTTTTGAGAATTAAGATAAAAATCCAATAACCACAGGTTTCACTATATTTTTAAGGCTTGAACATGACCTTTCCCTCCGAATGATGACGCATTAACACATTACATCATCAATATCAAAAGTTATAGCTGTACATTTTCAATTGGAATGATTTGTGCAGATTCTCATTTGCGACTCTTATTATGCTAGATGATGTTGTAGTAAAATGCTACTTTACTACTTAAATAAATGCAGTCTATTGTTTATTGTTTATGTTTGAAAAGCAGCTAAAAATGAATGCACAAAGGGAAACAGAACCCTACTTAAACCACTCAAAATAAATACTCTTTAACACAGGGTAGCATAACAGATGAAGGGATCTATTCTAGAAAAAACATAACCATATATATTAAAAAAAAATAATAATAAAAGAAGCGCAGTCCAATACCCTCATCAGTGTTTCCCATATCTGTAGATCCATTGAAATTATGGTGGGCCACATTGTCATTCATCGCCTCATCTACAAAGCAAGAAAGTGTGGAGATAAGAAAATTGGTAATTTCCTTTAAAAGGGAGAAAACAGTTAGTATACGTCATGGTTTTATTTCAAAAAGTTTACGCAGTAGAAACAAACTTTATCAAGCCAGGTTAATAGTACCTTTTTCGGAATAGGCTCTAGGAACTGATTGATCACAGGTGCCAATATCCACAGTTTCAGCTTGCTGCTAAATAATACAACTAATCAGCATCTCTTGAATTTCCAAAAACAAACTCTACATATAAATAATCATTATTAACTTGAATTATGGAACAAATGACCAATAATAGATAAATGTGGCATCTTACCGATGAATTATCGTCACTCAGTGACTGCATCAGTTGCCTCTTAAACATCTCCAACTGCCAATACTCAAAACGTTTTAATAGTTCCTTTCGGCAAATGTCAAACATCATAAGCAACACCCTAGACTAATTGTACAAAATGACATTCTTTAACAAAGATGAAACAAGGCTAATCAGCAAACAGATATTTTTGTTGCTGTATTTAGGTGTAAGATGTTAACAGAATCCTAAACAGAGACGACCCATGTAAGCAAAACAGGAAGAAAAAAATACAAGCATTTTGAATAACTAGAAGTCTAGAATCTCACCTTTGCCAAATCACGTCCAAGTTTCTTTGCAGTCATTGCCAATGAATCCTTTTCCTTTGAAAGTTTCACCTTCATTTAATATCAAAACAATGATCAGATTCAATTCTGTTAACAACAAATACTAATAATCACCAAATAAGATTAGAAGAAAAAAAAAGTCTATTCCCTTCCCAATAAAACAAAAAGCCCACCATTTATTTTCTAAAACCCATATAAAAAATCAATCAAATTAAACAAAATACCCCATATATATATATAGCGATTCTGTTCCTTTCTTTTCCCCCAACAAATTCAAAACCAAAAAACGGAAAAAGAAAAAAGAAATCAATCTTTTATCTTCCTTCCCCAACAAAATACAAAAACCCACCATCAAATTCAGTTAAAAAATGTGTGTGTGTGTGTGTGTGTGTGTGTGTGTGTGTAAAACTAAATAGCCAAAACCCAACAACAAAAAAGGTCACAAACTTTCTCTCACTTAAGCCTTATGAAGACCACCTCTACTCACATTTTCATGAAGTGCGTGACGCAATTTAGACTCAGATTCCTGGCAGACACGTTGCAAGTGACCTAATTTCTCTTGAAGCTCAAAAATAATCCGATCCTTGTCGAACATCCTCTGCTTCATCCGACCCGTTTCGGATTCCAAATAGGAGACGCGGGATGCAATTGCCATGGAAGTAATCTTCCGTGCTAGATCCAATTGATCATATGGGTCCATTGGTATCACTGCTAAGATCTCATCTGGTAAGCTAAAATCAGTCCCTCCTGTTGTAAGTTGTGACATAGTTACTGATTATTAGAACAGAGATGAAGTTGTGTTTTTTTTTTTTTTTGGTTTTTGGGTTTGGTTAAGGATGGTGTTGCGTTTTTTTTGTTGCAGGAGGGAGGAGAGGTAAAAGGCACTAATAATAATTATAGTAGTAATACTAATAACAACAAGTGAAGTTTTAATTCAAAAAAGACGGAAAGATGTGTGTTTGGGTTTGGTGGTGGGAAGAGGTGGTGGGAAGAGGTGGCGGGAGCTAGGTGGCGGTGGCGGTGGTGGTGGTGGTGTAATAAATTTGAATTATTGGAGGGTTAGTTTTCTTCCTCTAGGTTTGAAACTTGGAAAGCGAGGGAGGGTTTTCTATCTAATAATCTAAGCCCAAGTTGAAACTCATGCATGGCAAGCGATCGGCTCCAGCGCAATATTTAAATAAATTACCAGATTATATTTTTATGATTTATCATACATTTCTATTTTTATAACCGGGGATTGCCGTTTGAATTGGCTCATAATATACCTCCTCGAAAAAAAAAATTACTTGATCTAACAAAAGATGCAAAGGGGACAATTTTGATGCTCCATTGAACCAAATTGTTTGATAAGAAACCATTGAGTATGCATCTATCATCTATCTATCCTCTTTTGTTAAAGTATATCAAAACAAAAAAAATTAAGAATTAAATGTGATATCTTAACACATGTAGAATAGTTTAAAGCTCTCTAAGTAGCACTAAGTAATTTTTTTAGTGATTCTATAAAATATATAATCTCAATCGTCAATTATTATCATCATTTTAATAACAATAAAAATTATTATTAGGATTTTTTTTGGTGAGTTTGGTTTAACTTTTTTTTCTTTCATTGTTCTAATATAGTACATAATGATAATAGTGATTTTCAAAATTCTTTTTACTTGATAATATATTAAAATAATTTTATGTTTTAAAAAAATTATTTTTAACATCAAAATAAATTAATTTGAAGTAAAATTAATTTTTAAAATTTATAAAAAGAATTATGTGGCCACGTAAACAGACACACCCTAAACCAGACAAAAAAAAAACCTTTAACTCTCAACCCGAGCCCTTGCGCGTTGCAATTATATTATTAAGGTGATTAATGTTTCTGTATCTATAAAGTGGTCATTGTATGCATTAAGGTTTTTGCCTGAAGGTGACATGGATAGTCCATCAATTCAGAATTATAAAATTCTATGTTATAGACATGTTTTTTAAGTTTTAGTCTTAATTTTCATTGTATACCATTCATAAGCTTTGAGTATTTCAATTATTAATGGAACAATTTTCTTTAAATGGTATGAGCAAGTCTAAAACATTAAAGGTATTGGTTTGGAATATGTATTTTGGACGGATAAACCCTAAGCAATTACAACTAACAGCACTAATAAACAAGTATTTGAAAAGAAAGCACATGGGAGGTCATACAAGCTTGGTTTGGTGTTCACGAAGATGATTATAGCAAACAACATCAAAACATCTCAACAACAAATGAAAAATGATTAGGAATTTTTTAATTCAAAATCTTTCAAATCAACTAACAAGTCACTAGTATGCATTTCTTTTATAGGATCAACTAGTGTTAAGTATGATAGTACCAGAGGAGTTCAACAACATATTATGGATAGACAAATAAAGATGCAAAGTTGAATGCTTTATATAAGTGATAGGTTTCTAATTCAGTTCATTCTAAATTCACTTCATTCTTAATTTGGACCATTTAAAATTCACTTCAACACCATTAAGGATTAATAGATCATAATTAAACTAACTAACATGTGCATTCAAGAGAAAGTATGATTGAAACAAAGATGGATAATATTTGGCATTAATGATAACTCAAAAAGTTAGTAAGAAGAAATGGAATGGAAAATCAATGCTGTCAAAGAAAGGAAATGCATCTGAAAAGTTTAATTAGAAGCATTAAAGTTTTTTTACTATAAAATATTATTTTTATAGTAAGAAAGGACATGTAAAGAAGGACAATAAATGCATAGCTTAGTTTAAAAAAAAAGGTAATAACTTTTATTTTGTTTGTTAATCAAATCTTATTAAGGTTCATTTTAATACTTAGTGCATTGATTATGGTGTTATGACTTGTATGACTAACACAATATATTGATTTCTTGCAAGATGTAAACCAAATAAAAGTGAAAGATTTGTTTGTATATGGACCATTCCAAAGTGGAAGTGATAATTGTTGAAACCTATTGTTTACCCTTTTAGACTAGTCATTACATGGGTCTTAAAGACATTTTATATTTACCTTATGTTTCTAGGAATTTCATGTTTTTATATAAATTAGATATTGTTGAATATCCAGCTTTGTGCAGTCGTGGTAAAATCAAATTGATGTTTGATTTAAGTATAGTTGGTTTTGGCACACTATATGATGACTTATATAAAAATCTTTAAATTATGAGTTTACACAATCTTTAATGGCCCTTAATTATAATGTTGATTTCAAGCATGGTTGAATAAATAAAAAAATCTTATATTTTATGGCATAAACATTTGGGATATTTTTCTAGGAAAAGGATTGAGAGATTAGCTAAGAATGAAGTTTTAGGGGAAAAAATTGATTTCACTTATTTTGACTTATGTGTGGATTGAATTAAACAAAAGCAAATGAAACATGTACAAAAATGACCATAGGAAACAATAAGTTTTTTGAACTTATTCATACAAACATTCATCGACTACTTTTTATTTCAAGTTTTACAAGAGAAAAACACTATATTACTTTCATAGATGATATGTCATATCATGGTTATGACTATCTAATATATGAAAAGTCTAAAGATGTTAACATCCTCATGTAGGATATTTTTTTCCTAACATGCAATTTTACAATGAAGACAAATTGTGATCTGAGTGTTAGATCATTGACACGACTAAAAGGTGAATGTCTTCTCCCAAGTGCAGGAGTGTTAAAGGCCTCATTTTCTATGGGGATAAAATCTTGCAAAAATTCAATGATTGAGAGAAGGTTTTTCAATAATACCTAAAAGTTAGTATTTATGATTTTCTATATTTCCCAAATTGGTTTGGGATTTTATTTTTCTATTTGGTTCATAGCTCTTTAAATATTTTTTTCAACTTTGTTTATATTTTTTATTGCTTTTACTTTATTTTCAAGTTTCCTAGTTTTTTATATTGTTTTTAAGTTTATTTAAGGAGTTGTAAACCTTTTAGAGATGGACAATACTTGAAAACAAAATATCCAGTAATAAAATTTTGAATTAGTGTTTTTGTGTGATCATATTTTTGCATAATTCTATGTTCTTGTTCTTATGCATGTTGTTTTTCTTGTGTTGTAAATGTCTGTGTTAGTTGGTATCAGAGCCCAATGATCATTGACAATTATTTTTGTGTTGCAGAATAATCATGAATAAAAAAGGTTATAGAATATAATGTGCTTATATAGGAAGGGATAAATAGGTTTCTCCTTGAGAAAAAGATCTTTAGAAATCAGTGTGTCATTTTTGTCAACATCAATTGATGTTATTCAAAATCCTGGTGGTGGGACCCACAATGAGATAGCCGACATAAAAGTATTGTGTTAGGGATCCATGATAGGATAACTCGAACAAAGATGATGTGTTAGGTACTCATAATGGGGTGATTCATATACAAAATAATGTTCTTGATAAAGGATATTTTTTAACCGAAAACTAAACTCAAGGAAGAGTTCTTTCCAACCCAATGAGACTGATGCATAAAGACTAAACTCAAGGAAGAGTTCTTTCTGATTAGTACTTAAAAGTGCATAAGCCTTTTAGAAAATATATATTTTCCACTTTTATTTTTTTATTTTTTGTTATGATGCATTTTTATTTTTTTCCTATGTGAAAGGAATATTTTTTTTCTTTTTTATTTTCTTTTATTCAACATTATTAGGGTTTTCTAGTTTTTTTATATATAAAATTTTGTAATAACCATTTGGCAAGTAGAGACATAAATAAATAAACATTAAATATTTTGGTTGTCTTTCCATATTTATGATGTTTTTGGTCTTTGAGGGTTTTACCTTGTAACAAATACTCATTTCTTCGCTCCTGTCTACACTACATCTTTAAGATGCACATTACCGAAGTTAAGAGATAATTAGATAAAAAGAGATGATGAGTATTATAGTAAATATGATAAGTGAAGACAAAACCATGGTCTATTTACCAAGTTCCTAGAAAAGCAAGGTATTTGTGCATAATATACAATGTTAAGGACACCATAATAGAATGAAGTTGCTAAAAAATATAATTATACTCTAATGGACACAATTAGAAGTATGATGAGTTACCTCTAAGTACCTGATTCTTTGTGGAGAGAAAAATTAAATACTACAATATAAATCTTAAATAGAGTTCATAATAAAGTGATTCCATTAACTCCTTTTGAGTAGACTAGTAGGAAACCTAGTTTAAGACATTTAAATTTTTAGGGTTGCACAACCCATATGAAAAGAAGTTAGATCCAATAAAAATATATGAATATTTTATTGGTTATTCAAATAAGTCTAACATGTATTAATTTTATTGTCCAAACCATAGTACAAGGATAGTTGAATTCATAAATGCTAGAATCTTGAAAAATGGTAAAATTAGTAGGAGTGATACATTATGAAAGCTAAATCTTAAATAAGTAAAAGTAAATACCCTTATCTTTATCTTCTTCATATATTGTTATTCTTAAACATATTATTAGTCCGTGGAGTACTTAACAAATTAAGGAAATTGAACAACATAATGAGAATGTCATACCACTCCAAGAAAATATCACCATTGAAATATTATAAAACCACGACAACTAGGAATTCTATAAAGGTTTGAAAAAAAAAAGACATGTTATTTCATATGATTATATGGTGTATCTATCAAAATCTAAATTTTAGATTAGGATTAAAAAATATTTTATTATATTTTCACAATAAAAACATGATGATTCTAAAAGATGGATCAATGCCATGGATAAAGAGTAAAAATCAATGGATGAGAATGGTGTCTGGTATCTCATCAATTTCATAATAAATACAAGAAAATTGATTGTAAATGAGTTTTTAAGACAAAACATGATGTAAAGGGCAATATCAAACGATATAAAATGAGACTTATTACTAAAAGTTTTACTTAAAAAGAAAACATTAATTATAAGAAAACTCTCTCTAGTTTCTATAAAAGATTCCTTGGAATTATTATGTCAATTATAGCTCATTATGATTTAGAGTTGCATTAAATGGTTATGAAAAATACTGTTCTGAATGAGAATTTAAATAAAGATATATACACGAAATAACCTAAGGGTTTTATAAAAAAAGGAAATGAACATATGGCTTGCAAATAAAATAAAAATCTATTTATGGATTTAAACAAGCTTCCAAGCAATAGTTTATT